CAGATCACATACAATCCGTAATCCCATCGGCTGTCCCTATTCGTCTCCTTTTGCCGGGGGCTATCTCCGCATTATGTGATGGAGGGGCCCAAGGGCTCTCTCCTTCCATGCAGGACATACCAGGAGTACCATCCAATGTAGTCGGATCTCTGTGCAAGGAGGGACTGCGCAAAAATATATAGATGAGTGCAATACAGCTGTAGCTCGCACTCGGTCGGATCTCCACCTTTTGGTAGTAGACAAAGCATCTCGGCCTCCTGTATGCCCTTGCGTGGTGGAGTTATGTTGGTTCGTGTGATATCGGTAGCACGATGTTCATCAGCTGTTAGTTGACCAGTTGGAAATGGCGTCGGACTGGGTGATGGACCTGTGCATACGAGAGCAGCAAAAGAATGTTGATATCCGAGCGGCCCCACAGAGAAGTTGCTCCCACAACAAAGCACTACTCATCTCGCCCTTCCTCGTCATCGATGACTCTGAATTGATCGACGCCCTTCTCTGGTACCCTTGGGACTTCCTCTTATTTCGACGAATCGTTGAGTACCTAAGAGTAGAGACATCAACTATGAAGCCACTCAATCGATAACAGTGAGCGTAACTCCATAAATGATACGGTCTGTTTTCTGAAAACACGAATGACCTATCAACCGACTTGATTCTCACCACAGATTCTTTATCGCATTGTCTGTGCGTCCAGGTAGGAGCTTAGCTATTTCTGCCCATCGGTTACCAAAGCGATTGTGGGCTTCAAAGATGATACGATGTTCTTCCTCGGTCCAGGGCCTCTTATCGACCTAATAGGAGGCCAACAAATGAGAAACAAAACATTGTCCAGCCTACCTTTGGATCAAGATGGTTATGCCAACGCTCCCTGCACTGCTTTGCGGTCCTAGTGATAGTATTCCTATGAAGTCTGGTTAGTGCCTCAGCGATGAGAGTCCAATTCTTCGTTCCATTTGAAGCCACAGCTTGTCTGACATTGAGAGATTCCAGTAACATGCCATCAGCTCCCACCTGATAAGTTCATCCTCTTCCTCGAGCCACTGCCGCCTCTCGCTATTCGCCAGTACTCCTCCAGACTTGGCAACATCAGCTTGAGCCCCACTGGGAAGGACAGAATCGGACGAGGGTTGAGGGGAGCTACTCGGAGGATCTTGCAAAACTGAAGCAGATGCCGATCACTCTAACGGTGATACTTAGATCGTAGTCACCCGCGGTAGCGAGGAATGTAGACCACGAAGTATTTGTTGCATCATGGTCTGTCGTTGAAGAGGAGGAGGATGATGAGAGTATGTTTGAGATAGCCTCATCGAGGGCCTGGTCCAATGCAGCAGTGGTTGGTAACGCTTGAGTGGGGTCAACAAAATCTTTGCAGTTCATAAAAACAACCGAAAACTATCATATCACATCAGCATCCCGAAACGCAGCATAAAGGAAGCCACTCATAGCGACCAGATAGGATGAGCACGAATGGACAGCTGACACGTGTTGCACAAGGATGGTGCTGACACGACTTCCCTCCCTCGATTAGCAAAGTACTACGACACAAGACGAGTAACTCATCGTGATCATATAGATGAGTAAATATGCAGCATCCACCTCCACATCTACCGTCAATCTTCCTCGTCCTTATTGGGCGGAGCATGGTTATGCTCTGGTGAACGCCACAGACGATAATCTTCCGGCCACATCAGAGGGAACATTCCTGTGATAACAAGGTTCATCAAAGAGACTACCCACTGGTCACTGGTCTCACCCAGAAAACAACCGATGAGTACCCCGACAACATTCCCAGCTGTCTTCGTGAGAGCTACAGAATGCAACATACGTTGTGCCTTGGTTAAATTAGGGTCAGGAAGACCCATTCTCTGCAATAGAGAGATGTGTATCAGTGAGAGAGTACATATATAGGTAATACATGAGTGAAAGCTTCGACTGTGCTCCCCAGCCATATCCCTGATACATCCCCGATGGAATTACCCAAAGCTGCAGCTGCCAGAGTAGTAATACCAAGTGCGGCACCTACAGGTACCCAATAGAAGATACTACGAAGGATAACCACTTGCTTATCACCTAGCTTTGCATCTATGAAGTCACCTGCGACCAGCATGATACTGTTGTCCAAGAAACCGAAACCAACAAAGGGGATGGCTGCTGTTAGGAAAGTTTGCCGTAGTTGCCAGCTTAGAAGAGAGTCCTCAGAAAGCTAATTGCGATAGTAGTTGTTCAGACTACAATGTCGGCCGTGGAGCATGAATCTCGCCATCAGCTTCTACTGATTGAAATGAAGATGTACTCGGAGCCTCTCTCCCCACGTGCGCCATTCTATACAACGGATCATACGTAAACCAT